CGGCGTGCAGCGGGGGGCGCGGGGATGTGGCCCGGGGGCTCCCCCCGTGGCCGTCGCCAGTACTGCAGCGTCAGTCTCCGGGGCAGGTGAGCGACCAGCTGGTGGAGATCAATGGGGAGCCCACGCTGGGCATGACGCACGCCCGGGCCGTGGAGCAGATCCGCCGGGGGGGCAGCCGCATCCGCCTGGTGCTCAGGAAAGGCGACGGCTTCGTCCCTGACTTCGGTGAGTCCTGGGGCCCCCCCCGCCTCCCTCCCGCTACAGCCTGTGTCCCCCCAAAACTGAGGGCAGGTGGTATTTCCCCACCACCCGCCTCCCAAAGGAGATGGTAGGACCCACAATAATATCCTCCCCCCCTTATCCCATGGGAGATGGTATGATCTAAAGTGAGGTTCCTTTCCCCCTCCTCTAAATCCTAAGGAAAATGGTACCACCCATAGTGTGCTCCCCTCAATTCCTGGGGCGATGATATGACCATCCCGCTGTTCCCCTCCCCCACGACATGATACATAGTGACCTCCCCTGATTCTCCCAGAGCAGATGGTACATCCCCCAGTGTCCCCCCCACATCCCTGGGGAGATAGTATGACCCCATCGTGACCCCCCCCCACACACACACACACATACACACACATCCCAGGGCAGATGGTACGAACCCTGGTGATACCCCCCCTGCATCCCTGGGGAGACGGTACGACCCCATAGTGAACCTCTCCCCCGCCCTCCATGGAGAGATGATACAACTCCATAGTGACCCCATGCACACATCCCAGGGCAGATGGTATGACCCACAGCAACACTCCCTTCCTGCATCCCTGGGGAGATGGTAAGACCCCATAATGACCCCCGCCCACACAAACACACACATCCCAGGGGAGATGGGGCATGATCCGCAGTTATACCCCGCCCTGCGTCCCAAGGGAGATGGTATGACCCTCAGTGACTCCCCCCACATCCCAGGGGAGATGGTACAACCCTCAGTGACAACCCCTGCATCCCTGGAGAGATGGTATGACCCTCAGTGACCCCCCCTGCATCCCGGGAGAGGTGGGACCCCATAGTGACCCTCCCCCACATCCCTGGGGAGATGGCGCAACCCTCAGTGACAACCCCTGCATCCCTAGAGAGATGATGTGACCCTCAGTGACCCCCCCTGCATCCCTGGGGAGATGGGTCAGCCCCATCATGACACCCTCCCATCCGAGGGCAGATGGTGCAATCCATAGTTAGGGGGGTAGCAGGTGTCCCAGTGCATGGGGGGCAGTGGGGTCTGGGGGAACAGTGTATAATAGCCAGGAGCTGGTTTACCCCTCTGCCCCCGCCCTGCCCCTCCCCCCATGGGGGTGTCTCTGAATGGGGGGCAGATTTTCAGGGTTCAATACTCATCCTATTTCTCTCCCCCCTTTCTGCCCCTTCTCTGACTCCGACCCTCCACATCCCCCCCTTGTCCGTTTGTCCCTTCCTGGGCCCCCTACCCCTTCCACCAGTCCTCTCTGCCCCCCCCTCCCTGGCCACCCCCCACCTGCCCATGCCCCTCTGCCTCTCCCACTATTCACGGCACCCCCATGCCCCGTTCTGCCCCCCATCCCTGATGTCCCCCCATCTGTACTGCCCCCCCCCAGTGTCCGTGTGCGCCCCCCCCACAGCGACGCCGCTCTGCAGCCTGGCGCTGTGCGTCACCAACTCCCGGCGGGGCGAGCCTTGCTTCTGCCTCGTGGGACGGCTGGAGCGTGACTGGTGGGTTGCCCCCCCCCCGCAGGCCAGAGCAATGGGCCGACCGAGCCCCCGCCCCAGTCACAGCAATGGGAAATTCCTCCCCGCATAGGCCAGAGCAGTGGGCCAATCCAGCCCCCGCCCCCATCCCAGTCACAGCGATGGGCAATTCCTCCCCCGCCAGGTCAGAGTAGTGGGTCAATCCAGCCCCCCCATTCCAGTCACAGCAATGGGCCAATCCAGTTGCCCCCCCCAGATCAGAGCAATAGGCCAATCCTGACAAGACCCCCCCCCCCAGGAATGTGGAGTTCAGTGCTGTTTCCTGGGTGGGGGAATCTCTCCAGTGCTAGAGAGATCGATACTCCCCCTCCCCCCATAGATGGGGATATGAGTAACCCCCCCTCTCTGTTCTTGGCCCCCAACTGTGGACCCTTGCCCTGACCCTGTTGTTCCCCACAGACCACCCCCACCCTCCCATCACTGACCCTGTTGTACCCCCCAGGAGACCCCCCCCACTACCAACCCCCCCCCCAGCTTCACCAGCCCCTCGCTGTTTAGCCAAACCGTCTGAACGGATGTTGGCAAGGACATGCGGGTGGGAGGGGGGACACACACCCCAGAAAACAGGGTTGATCCCAGGGGGCAGGACCCTAAGGAAGCGATCCCAGGGTAACTGTAGGGAGGATGCGGGGGGGGGGTCTTTCACTATGTTCTCTGGGCCTGATCCCTCCCCCCCATCTCATTCTCTCTCCCCTCTCCAGACCGTGAGCACATCCCCAGCCCCGCCGGGCGGGACCGGATGCCAGAGGGTGGATCGGCACCACACGGCTGGAGAGCAGACACGGACGAGAGGTCTCCATGCTGGGGACGGGACGCCAGGTCCTGCCTGGAGGCTTCTCCCAGCAGCGCTGAGCGAGGATCCCACCGCTGCCACCAACGCGGGTCCCGGGACCATCGGGGCGCAGAGCAGGGCTGGCCAGCATCGGGGAAGGAGGCAGAGGCGGAGGCCAGGAAGGGAGAGAGCGGGTCCCTCTCCCCCCAGAGGGAGCAGGTCTGGAGGGGCCTCTCGGAACCAGCCCCTGGGCCCTGGCTGGTGCCCAGCAAGGAGCGCCTCTCACGGGCCCTGAGGGGCGTCTGCATGGGGGAGGCAGAGGACGACGAAGGGGGCAGCCTGGGGCAGGGCAAAGGCGGAGAGGTGAGAAGGAGGACCTAGTCCAGCCCCGCCCAGCGCAGGATGTTCTCAGTGCCTGGGAGAGTCCACCCACCCCTCATCTGGATGTGCAATGGTACCTTCCATTCTCCTCACCACCCCTTCAACCAGGGCCCAGCTATGTAGTGGTACTCTCCACTCTTGTTCCCCTTCCCATTTTGACTAATGGTACTGTCTAATCTACTCAGCGTGGTACCTGCCATTTCTTCCCCCCTCCCCCCATCAGCTATGCAGTGGTATAATCCTCTCCTGTCCCCTACCCTCTGGGTTGTGAAATGGTACCTTCCATTCGTCTTGTGTGTGTCTCCCCCCCCCTGCCATTCAATGAATGGTACTTTCCTCTCTCCCCTCCCCCATTCACAATCTGCACTGATACCTTCTACTCTGCTGGTAACCTTCCCCCCCACTAGTCTGTGCAATGGTGCTGTCCACTAGTGCCCTCTTTGGCAATGGTATTGTCCACTGGTAATTTTGCATACCCCATGTCAGGATTGCAATGGTATTGTCCACTCTACCTTGCCAACACTCTTCACAGAGCCACACATGGACTGACCCATTCCATGGAGGGGGAGGAAATTGAGCTAATCCATTCCATCGTGGGGGGGGGAGAGCCTCTCCCTGCATAGAGCAATGTCCGATGGACTGATCCATAGGGGGTGGGAGCCACCACATGTGGCTTGATCCACTCCATCGATGGGGGAGTGTGTGGAATGGGCCGATCCATTCCACCAAAAGGAGGGTGAGTGCTCTAGCACAGCTCAAAGACACACGCAGACTGATCCATTCCATGGGGGGGGGGGCGGAATGGACCCAACCATTCCCTTGAGGTGGGAGAATCACCAAGGGCCAAACCATTTCATGGAGCAGGGAGAAATAGACCAATCCATTACAGGCTCACATGTGGACGGATCCATTCTGTGCGGCAGTGGGGGGGGGGGAAATCACAGATGACCTATTCCAGGGAGGGAGGAGGAATGGATCGAGATGTGGGGGAGATGGGAAATGATTGGATCTGCTCCAGAAGGGGTCCTGTCCCAGGGGATGGGAGGTGTGTGTGTGGTGGGGGTGGGGGGGGTCGAC